TAATAAAACCTATTTAAAAAATACAAGGCGTAAGCCATTTATTTTCCTTTTTAATGCAGGCAAAACCACACAGCAGTGAAATGGTTAATCTAGCCCCCCTCCCCCTCCCCCTCCCCACACTCACAGACACACACACAGAGACGTAGGCTCAGAGAGAGACACATAAAATGACAATTTTCAAACCAAAATATCTAACTTCCTGTTGGTCGTAGCTAATTACGGTAAATTAGAAAGTTGTCGAAGAGTACAATATACATATCGAGTTTTGTTACTGTAGATAAAACTAACCCCCCCACTTTTGTCAAAAGCATTTAGAAAGTGACACACTTCCTGCTGCCAGTTGGTGGCGCTATAACTTTGACTCACAATAGTTACATCCATCTGATTGGCCTCTTACCACGAACACACTGCTGAAGTTTCATCAAGATCAGTTAATGTATGCAGAAGTTATAACACTTCGTGTTTCTCTTTTCTCGCCATAAATTCGTTTCCTCGCCACGGCCAAACCGTTCGAGATATCAAAAATCCGTCCGCAATTTAGCATCTTCAATGTGTTGACCTCAAGCTGACCGAGTTTGGCGGTAAACGGATGCAATCTCTAGGAGAAGTACTTCAAATTCCTGAGCAAGCGTTCTCCAAACAACCCATAATAGCCGACTTCCTGTTGGGCTGGCGTAAAACTTGACCGAGGGTAGGTTGTTCGGCCCGATGAGATCTATATGTGTATTGAGTTTCAGATTAATTCATGCAAGCGTGTTTGATCTATGGACCAAGTTTTGGGGACCCCGTTCAAGGGGGCGCTGTTGAGCCCCCTTGCCACGCCCGGATACCAGCTTCAGCCCGGGCCTGATGGCTGTGGGCGCTGACCTGTGTGCAAAGTTTCAAGAGTTTTCAAGCACGTTAAGGGCCCCAAAAGCCCCTGAAACCTTGAACACCATTAAAAAAATAATAGTCAAATTCCCCAACCCCCCCACACACAGAGACAGAGGGAGAAAATTCTCCTGAAAATCATATTCAAACCAAAATATCTGACTTTGTGTTGTTCGGAGCTAATGACTGTCAATTAGAAAGTTGTCCGGCTCGAGGAGACGAATATCCATACCGATTTTTGTTACTGTAGGTAAAACTAATACCCCATTTTTGACTAAAGGTGGCGCTACTGAGCCCCTCACCACGCCCGTTTCTGAAACTTTGCACGTGTCTACTAGCTAATAAATGAGATGTGTCTGTCGAGTTTCATGCAATTTCAAGCATGCTAAGAGTCTCAAAAGCATCAAAAAAGAATATTAAAGTTTGATGCGTTGCCATGGCAACATTATCTTAGATATTAAACAATCCTTTCACAGGTCTACATCTGCCGTGTTTTTACATTATACAGATGAAGTTTGAAGCAAATCGGGTAAAAATAAGAGGGTGATTTCAAAGCATTTTGAAAGTGACACACTTCCTGCTGCCAGTTGGTGGCGCTATAACTTTGACTCACAATAGTCACATCCATGTGATCGGCCTCTTACAACGAACACACTGCTGAAGTTTCATCAAGATCAGTTAATGTATGCTGAAGTTATAACACACTTCCTGTTTCTTGTTTCTCGCCATAAATTCGTTTCCTCGCCACGGCCAAAGCGTTCGAGATATCAAAAATCCCCTGGCAATTTTTCATCCTCAGTGTCTTGACTTCATGCTGACCGAGTTTCGTGCCGTGTGTTTGAATTCTCTAGGAGGAGTATTTCGAATTCCTGAGCATGGGTTTTCCAAACAACCCTAAATAGCCGACATCCTGTTGGGCTGGGGTAAAAAATCAGAGCATGAAGGATATATGAACCGATGAGATCTATATGTGTACCGAGTTTCATATTATTCCATGCAAGCGTGTTTGATTTATGGACCAAGTTTTCGGACCGCGTTCCAGGGGCAGGGTTTATGCAGGAATCATAGAGATGAATTTACTACCTTTTACTACCTTTTTTACTACCTCCACAATATTTTTTACTACCAACACGACATATATTCTATGTAACGTTACAATGTTCTCAATATAATTCATAATCCCACGTTTATAATGAACAACGCGTTATGGTTATTGTGTTATTAAAAACTGTGTACGCAGAGGGGCGGGGTGACCAAAGCTTATTATCATTTAAAGGCATGTGATTGTGCACTGAAACGGCGTGCTGAAAACAGAGCTATTTTTGAGCTGGTAAAATGAGTGTTTTCTTAAAATACTAATGAGACTTTTTGATAAAAGTATATTACAAAGTTTTCATTTAGACCCTAAAGATTCATATTAACTTGTACAAAAATGGCATTATATGACCCCTTTAACCCTAGCCCTTGAGTTATCCTAACCATTACGTTAGCCCTTAGCCCTAATAAGGTGAATAATAACCTTGGCACTTAAAAACAAATGACACTTAACAGCCATAAACTTTAATAAAGATCAATAATAAAGTGTGTCACATCACACACACTTACCCACAAACACACATTCTCACACACACAGACTTAAGCAGTGAAATTACTATCCCAAAACAGCAATTTATTTAATCACATCTCTAAATGTGCTTCAAATATGGCACTGCTTTGCTCCTCCCTCACGCGAACCCGTTAAATATTTTCAATTAGGGATGCACGATACCACTTTTTGCAGAACGAGACGGATACCAATACTTTCATTTTTGGTACTCGCCGATATCGATACCGTAACCGATCCCTGAATTTTCACTGCATTTGTAATTTTTATATGTATTAGTAGATAAACCAAAAGAATATAAATCATATTAGTTGGCTTAATTTGTTCATCAAATATATATTTCCTTCAGATATTTTCATGCTTAATTAATCCTGCTAAAAAGCATGCTTCTGTTTCTGTCACTGTTCATTCTATTGCTCTATCATATTTTATCTTTCATTTAATACAGGGTATACACAGAAATTCTTAAAATGAATTTAATACCTTCACTATATTTTTTAATACCATCACGACTTCAAGATGCAACTGTAGTGGCGTATATAGAGACAAGTAAAGTAATGAAATATCTTCGAAAACTTGCATTTCCCCATAATGTCCAGGGTTTTTTCCTTGGTCAAAATTGGTCTTCGGTGGTGGCCGACAGACACTTATCCTTTCTTGCCCTTTTTAAAAAAAAAAATACTTCTTTGCTGGACGTGATAATTGTTTTGGTATAATCATATCAATATCAAAAAGTAGAATAAAAACGGAGCATTAAAAAGTTTATTTTAAAAGTTTATTGAAGTCTAATTTTCTACCATATACTGTAAAATTTAACAGAATTAGCTGCCAGATACTTTTTTTTTTTAAAATTAAATAACAAAAATTGCTGCTAGATAACAACTTGCTTTGCACTTTTTTTCTGGTTTCACCTCACTCCAGTCTAAACTAATTTTTTTTTTTTTTGCAATGTTTCTACACATTATAACATAAATAACCTGAAAATACTACGCAGTTTACAACATACATGAATTGTTTGTTCATATTACTTCACAGTGCATTAACTAATGTTAACAAATACAACTTTTGATTTCAATAATGTAGGCTATATGGTGAAATTGACATTAAGAAAGATTAATTAATGATGTAGACGTGCAGTTTATTAATAGTTCATGTTAACTAATGTAGTTAACTAGATTTTAATAAATGGAACCATATTGTGTTACCGATTCAGAAGTCCCATGAGGACAGATCCGTTGTGTTAACCATTCATTAAAGTGACGCGTCATTAGCGGACGTGTACGCATTGTGTGGTTATCCCATCAGTTAGGACATCGCACAAAATTTGTGTCAACAAATAGTTTTTTTTTAGGATAGATTTTTCCTTTATTGAAAGTGTGGTTATGTCAGCTGAATGTGGCACACGCCGTGAGAAAAGATAAGGCAACGTTTTTTTAGCACAATTCACACACAGCGGGAAATAAATTTCCAATTGCGCCACGTGAAACTTCGGTCTTCCGACCTTTTACCATCGTGTCTGTCAATTGATTTTGATTAATATGAGCGAGGGAGAGAGAGCAAGAGTGAATTGAGTGCGCGCGCGCAGCCGGGGCTCTCTCTCTGTTCCTTCTTTCAGTTAACATGCACCCTGTCACAGGCGTAGCAGTCAGTCGTCTACATTAGGCTACTCACCGATCAAATATGGCTTTGGCGGCCGACTGATGACTGAAATAGAAGCGAACTCGCGAACAGGTTGGGCAGCAAGCCAGGCCAGCCGGGTACCCAGTTTGTTTCAGCGCGCGCGAACGAACAAACACCACGTCACATGATATCGCACAGGTCCTACTCGCAACATATAAATAAATCCACGCGAATTTTAGAACAAAGTCCTGCACTTAACACAAATTGAAACTCATAGGCCTAGTTGGATGGGGGTTCGAAAATTTACTACTTCGTCAGATGACGTTTACTACTTTTTACTACTTTTTACTGGCCTTAATTTGGCATAATTTAATTTACTACCTTTTACTACCTTTTACAACCCCGCGGAAACCCTGCAGGGGGCGCTGTCGAGCCCCCCTGCCACGCCCGGGTACCAGCTTCAGCCCGGCCCTGATGGCCGCGGGTTCTGACCCGTGTGCAAAGTTTCAAGAGTTTTTGAGCACGTTAAGAGCCCCAAAAGTGCCCAAAAGGTAGTAAAATAATAATAATAATAATAATCCTTAGGAAAACAATAGGGCCTTCGCCTTTTCAAGGCTTGGGCCCTAATAATAATAATAATAATAATAAATAATCCTAAGGAAAACAATAGGGCCTTCGCCCTTTGGGCTTGGGCCCTAATAAATAATCCTAAGGAAAACAATAGGGCCTTCGCCCTTTGGGCTTGGGCCCTAATAAATAATCCTAAGGAAAACAATAGGGCCTTCGCCCTTTGGGCTTGGGCCCTAATAAAATCCTGTACCCATTTAAAAAAATGTGGTGAAGTGCTTGAATGTTTCTAACATGAATGTTCTCCAGCATCATGAATGAATGAAGAATAAACACCAACCTCTTTGTTCTTCAGGATCTTCAGTGTGTTTCATTCTGCAGGTTCTGGATCACTCGTGTTCTCACTGTCCTCTTTAATAAACTCAGTCTTGGCAGATTTCAGCTCTTCCTGAAGCTTTCATGCTCGTCTTCACTTGTAGCTGATGGGAATTTACAGCATTTATTGGTGAATTACTGTGGGAGGAGCTTCACTGATGATGTGATTGCAGTGGGAGGAGCTTCACTGATGATGTGATTGCAGTGGGAGGAGCTTCACTGATGATGTGATTGCAGTGGGAGGAGCTTAACTGATGATGTGATTGCAGTGGGAGGAGCTTCACTGATGATGTGATTGCAGTGGGAGGAGCTTCACTGATGATGTGATTGCAGTGGGAGGAGCTTCACTGATGATGTGATTGCAGTGGGAGGAGCTTCACTGATGATGTGATTGGAGTGGGAGGAGCTTCACTGATGATGTGATTGCAGTGGGAGGAGCTTAACTGATGATGTGATTGCAGTGGGAGGAGCTTCACTGATGATGTGATTGGAGTGGGAGGAGCTTCACTGATGATGTGATTGATCTGACAAAACAAAAAATTATATCAGTTCCTGAGTTTATTTTTATACGAAATATCACATCTAACCATTTATGTCTGTTTGTCTGAAATAAAGTAACTGATGCAAATGTATAACTTATTTTATGGCTAACCAGAACACTATCCTGCTTTTTCCATTACAATTTAGGCAGATATCTAGAAATAACAAATAATAGTGTCAGTCTGCTGACACCAATGAAATGAGCTTTAAGTGTCAGTTTACAGGAGATCTGAAGACATCAGCATAATAAATGAGGAGAAAACAGGCACTATTGTCATGAAATAAAGAGTGTTTTCAGCAGATCTGTTAATATTGATGATCCTCAGACTATCAACACTCATTCAACAAGCCATTCAGGATCATCAGCAGATCATCTCACTTTATTCTGAGCGTTTGCTGTTAGAAACACATCATTTGAGTCAGGATACATGATAAAAGCCTGTTAAACTGCTATACTGAAAGACAATACTGTTGCTTCCCACAACATGACAAGGATAAAACATTTAATATATATATATACATATATATATATATATATAAAATGGCATTCATCTTAATTAACCACCTCATATAAATAACTACAGCAGCATAATGTCAATATCGAAAATATATTTAGATTTTGTAGCAACTACATTTATTGCACTAATGTTATTAGATTAAAACTCATTATTTAAGCTCAATGTGAAGTATTTAGCTGTATCTGTTCCAGCATATTTTAACAATGTGAAGTAAGAAACACATTGGATTTGATAAAGATAAAATAAAACGTTGCTAAAAAAATACTGTTGCTTCTCACAACATGACAAGGATAAAACATAAAATAAAATTAAATGAAAAAACACTAAATGTATTCATCTTAATTAACTACCTCATCTAACTACAGCAGCATTATGTCAATATCGAAAATATATTTTGATTTTGTAGTAACTAGATTCATTGCACTAATGTTATTTTACACAAAATTGACAATTATCCTAAAAACTCATTATAAACTCAATGTGAAGCTTTTAGCCGTATCTGTTGCAGTATATTAAGTAACAAATTTGATTTGTTACCATAAAACGGCGCAGCAGCATCAATTCCTCTCACAGATCTCAAACTTTAACTCTTATTCAGTAACAGTTCTCACTCCAAACATCGAGACAATCACACACACACACACACACACACACACACACACACTCGCTCAGGTCTGAACTCCACATATTCTCCTCAGGCTCGCTGCTGCTGCACTAAATGTGTATTTCAGAAGGAAGACGCCAGAAAAGACGCACAAGTATCGCTGTGATCGATGAAAACAATACAGAAATGAGCCTGTCGCTTAATCAAACTGTATAAAGTGTGTGTGGTGGGTGTGTAAAGATGAGAAATACCGTGAACTGCTCTCCTCGCCTCAGAAGACTCTTCTTCTTCTTCTTCTTCTTCTTCTTCTTCTTCTTCTTCTTCTTCTTTATTGGCGGCTCGAATTAGCGCCATCTATTGTGGGTTTTGGATCAGAGACTCAACTTTTTTTCATGTGATGCATGAGAACGAGGAAGCGAGCATTGTTTTATTTCAAAAAGTACAGAGATGACATGTTTATGATATACAGCTTTGTATAGAAAATAAGAGTTAATGGTGATTAGCTGAAAACTGAAAAATAAAAGACAAACTAGAAAGAACGTGGGGGTAAGATATTAAATTATACATCCATTACATTGTACAGATTACCATTCTTACAAATACTTGCTTTCATATGTACTGAAGATGTAGGCCTAATTGTAGTAAGATGTATTTTTAATTCTTTCAAAAACATGGTCTGTTAATAATAAACTTACATTTATTTGGCAAGAAGATAAAAAAATGTATAAAGTAAGTCAAATACAAGTCAAATATGATTTTTTTTTTAATATTAAACCTCTGGTATGTCTGAAATAAAAGGAAAGCAAAAGAAGAACTATTTTAATCTTCCTGAAAATGTCCTCATAGCCAGGGGCCGGACTGGGACCAAACAGTGGACTTTCTGGCCCTCATCATCATAACACATCATAACACATCATAACACATCATAACACATCATAACACATCATAACACATCATAACACATCATAACACATCATAACACATCATACATTAATGTGCAGAATCATCGCTAACACCATAGCATAACAATATAACACAACACAAACATAAATGCTATTTAAACATTTACTTTAAGTAACACAACATACATGTGAAACTGGAAAAATTAGAATATCGTGGTGATTATGGTTTACAGCTTATGAAAACCCCGAATTCGAAATCTCAGAAAATAAGAATATTACATGAAATCAATAATAATAAAAAAAGGATTTTAAATACAGAAATGTTGGCGCTCTGAAATGCATATGTAGTTATAGGCCTACTAAATATATTAGTTTCACTGAATTACTGAAATACACTAACTTTTGCACAATATTCACATTTTTCGAGTTTCACCTGTATATCTGTAAACCAAAGGGAAACAAACAGAAGAACATTAAGACACAGCATTATTATTATAAAACTATAAAGATATGAAGGTAGTTTTGTTTCTTTATTATGCAATCAAAAAAAAAAAGGTTGCTTCAATCAAAAAATATATTTTCAATTAAAAAAACCTTCACTTCAATGAAAAAAAACTTTTCGATCAAAGAAAAAAAGTATTTGAATCAAAAAATATATTTTCAATTAAAAAAAACTTCACTTCACTGCTTTTCTTTGATTGAAAATGTTTTCTTTTATAGAAGTCCGTTTTTTTTTTTTGTTGTTGTTTAAAGCAACCTTTTTAATTGAAGTAACATTGTTTTTGATTGGACCATACATGGGTAGGATGTACATACATGTCTTAATCATTCAATTCCAAAAAAAGTTGTTTCAATCAAAAAAAAAAAACTGTTCAAATGAAAAAAAAAAAAAAAATTACCCCGTGAATAAAAAAAGTATTGAAGAGAATGTGAAAAAACACATTCTCTTCAATACTTTTTTTATTTTTATGATTCTTATGAAAATGATTCAATAACGTCACTGTAATACCATGTATTGTTTCCAAATTAAGTTCACACATCACTGCTGCCATGTTGGTTATACTTATTGTTTTATTATGCAAAATAACAAAGATGAGTTATAAACTTAAACCTCACTTTGCATTACCATCAGCTTTTCCCCCACACATCTAATCTTGCTGGTTTTCCTGGGACATTTTCTATAGAGCCAAATATAGTCGATATTGTCAAACTCTTTACTTGCTTTTGCACATAGCACACAATACCCAAGGGATATCTTTCATTCCCAGGCATCGTATGTGAAACCATCTCGTTCCACACTGAATCTATAAGGGGATAAATATGTCAATTATATGAAGGAAATGTTCACTTTAGGAATCCTATGATGCATAAAAGTCAATTACAATAATTATAATTACTATTAAATAATCCATGGAATTTCACTCCAGATGTTTTACATATTATCCACTATGGGATTAATATCCTGCCATGATTCAAAACTGAAAATAGTCTAACTAAAATTCAAGTCTAACCTGGAAAACAAACTAATACAGTGGGAGAACACTGACAAATTCTGAAAAATTGTTTGCGCAACATCGTAAAACAAAATGTTGCAGTTCTGAAGAAGGAAATCTCAAAAACAACATAATGTTTGCAGAGATATTTTTAATTTTTTTACATTTTGCAAGCTTGCAAATCTTATTTTTCGATCTTGCAAAACTTTTTTTTGTAAGATTTTGAGTTTTCAAACACTTACTTTCAACCTTTCAGAACTTTATTTTCAGTTTTGAATCATGCCAGGATATTAATCAGTTTAAATCCACAGTTTTTGGCCGGTCTTTATTCCCACAGAAGGAACAGAAGTCAATGTTTGGAACTGACTGAAATAAATTATATATATATATTAAGTTTGTAAGAAGTACACATAAATATATTTAAACAATGATACCTGATCCTCTTAGAATGTATTCAGCCATGTCTCTTCTTAAACTTTGAAGAGATTCCTTTGATGAGTCAATCTCAAACCCCGTCATCTTGGCCATCTGTACGGATCATGGCATAAGAACATGTGTTTTGTCTTACGTGTTATCACATCTATCCTAACGTTAATATGTTTCATAGAATTACCTGCATCGCAAAGACCGCACCACTGGTAGCATCTTTAGGAAGGTGTGTGTATCTGTCCAGGCTCACACTTGATGTTAACCCAGTCCTCCTTTACAAGTCTATTCCGGCGCATCTTGAAATACTCTCTAAAAAGAAAAATTATAGTGATTTTTTATTTGCATTTCCATCTTTCCCAATGTGTTTTTATAATCTATCTTATATTACCATAGCAGGCCTTTTTGGATTTGACCCATTAACCACAAACATGTGGTTTGAAAGGGCATGAAGATACTGTTGGAAAAAAATGACATATCATTATAGCATTCCATTAAAAGTAAAATCTTTAAATAAATATGGACCATTAATATAAAGGTGTCAAAGCCACCTCATCACTGATTATCTACAGCTCAAGACACACTGTCAACAGATAAATAATGTCTTTCCTAAAATGTCTGTACATTTTAAATATAAAATTGTAACAATTTTCACTGTTATACCAATTTGTTTTTTAACAGAACATGTGTGATCAGCTCTGTTCAGCTGAGGAGACTGGTCTTCACTTCTACTATTTATGATATAACATTTGAACTATTAATTTATGCATAAAAGTACCTTGAAAATTAATTAAGTTATCCCATGACTTATTATCATTTGGTCCTTATAACATAGTAAAGGGCTCACATACTGTACATTTTTGGCATAACTGTTTTCACATAAATTGATAACACTGAGCAATATAAAT